TGAATTTGGGATATTTGTGGAATGGAGTAGTAAATAAGAACCAATATTGGTTGTCCTAGCCATGAAAATGGTTACAAACATTGAAGCTTTAGTGTACAGTGAAGATCTGTGAACTCAGCAATGAATAGAATGTCTGAAGAATAAGAACTCAAGGGGCTGGGGAGATGGCTCAATACGGAATACCACTAACTGCGTAATAGGAGGAGCTGAGTTAAATACCTCCAACAGCCATGTTAAAAATCCCAGAATGGACAGGGTGGTGGTGGCACATACCTTTAATCCCAGTACCTGGGAGGCCGAGGCAGACGGGTCTCTGTGAGTTTTGGCAGCATAGTCAACAGAGGGAGTTCCAGGACAGCCAGTGCTACACAGAGAAACCCTGTCTCAAAAAACAAAACTAAAGAGAACGGAACAAATTCAATAATGTCTGGCTATAAATGCCTGTAAGCCCAGCATTTGTGGGGCTGAGTCAGGCAGATCTTGGGAGCTGCTGGGCAGCCTGTCTAGTCAAAACAGTGAGCTCTCAGTTTAGTGAGAAACCTGGGGCTCAGGAAGTAAGGCAGAGAGTGGTAGAGGAAGACACTTGACATCCTCTTCTGGCCTTCACATGTGTGCATATAGGTGCGTTACCTGCATAGTCATGTATATGCTCTACACACACACACACTCACACACACACAACTAACAAATGGTCAGAGAAGCAAGAACTGGAGACTGAAAGCCACGGCAGAAGAGATGTGGCAAAGCAGATGTGGCAGCTGTGGCAAATGTGAGAGAGTGAAGCATGAGAGATTAGAAAAGCTTTGACTTAATATAGCAATTCTGAAGGCAGTATAAGGAATACAGAGAGAGCATTTGAAGACTGGGTAGGAGGAAGAAGCAAGAGATTACAACAATAAGGAGTAATTGGTGAGGAGGGGTGTGGGAATCATAGTGAAGGCATTTATTTGAAGGAACTTGATGGTAACTGGAAGTGGGGCACTAGAATAATACTTACAGAGAAGTCCAAAGGCAGATGGATAGTAGTTTTTTTTCCCTTTGGTTTTTTGAGACAGGGTTTCTCTGTAGCCTTGGAGCCTGTCCTGGAACTAGCTCTTGTAGACCAGGCTGGTCTTGAACTCACAGAGATCCACCTGTCTCTGCCTCCTGAGTGCTGGGATTAAAGGCGTGCACCACCACCGCCCAGCAGATAGGAGTTTCTATTCTTCATTTTGAGAGAAATTCATGTTCATTCCCCCCATTTCTCTGTTGTTTGACATTGGCAGCATGGTGTTGTGGTCTACAAATGTGTTGTAGAAATTTATACCTGTCCTGTAACATAGACAGACTATTAGCTGCAGGTTGTACGTGCCTGAAACCAAACAAAGCATAAAGAAACTGACTAAGGCTCAGAGATATTCAGCAATTTCCCATGGACAGTTTTTTAAAGCATGCTGTATCTTAGTAAGTGTCTAGTGCCACCGAAAAGACTGATAATGTAAGAGAAGTGATTGTAGCCTGGCTTTTCTTGCGAGTGCGGCTTTAGAGAGAAGCCCATACTTAATTTGGAAATGTGAAGTCCTAAACAGGTCCAAGTATTAGAAACTTGACAGGTGAGGAAGAGAGACTTTTAGGCAATAGCTAATTTTTATTGAGCAATTTACCGTGTGCTACATTCTGAGTTAAGTACTTGCATTGTCGAATTCCCACAGTGACACTCCGAGGTAGTTACTGTTATCTTTCACTAACAGATGTGATGGCCAAGGTGCAGAATAGTTCAGTCATTTGGTCAAGGTTATATAGTTACTGTGTCGTGGATTTCTTCAAGCATTGTAGAAGAAACCGAGGCTGAGGGAATTGTCGTTCAGATCTAGGCTCTGTCTGGTACTAAAGTATCGCACTGTCTTCAACATCAAATTGTCATGAAAGGAAGCTAGTAAAATAGAGACTTTGCTTGTGTTTTTTCCAGATCCATTCTGTAAGACAAGAATGGTCCCCAGATTCAAGTGATGGCAAGAATTTCCCGTTATTCTAGGAAATGAATAGTGAGATCATTTTTTTTTAAGTAACACACCACAAAGCATAGCACAGCAGGGCATTTGTATAAAGCTTTACAGTGACAACAGGGGACAGAAAAGAGCTACTCAGTAGTAGTGATAGTTGAGTTCTCATGTGGCTTCTTCAGGTGGCTTCATGTCAGCAGACTTTCTTTGCTTTCCACAGGGAAGATCGTTTGTGAGGGAGAATTGGCCCAGAGGCTGTTTCTCCCTCAGCTTAAGGCCCACTAACAAGCTGATCTGACTAATAAGCCATCAGCCTGCATTTGTAGACTATAAACATTCGAGCTGGAGACTGTGGGAGAGCAGAATGTGAGGCTGGGAGGAACATCTTAATTGCTTTCCCTTCCGAGATGACTGTCTCCTAAACAGAAACAACATGTAGAACAGGCGGAAGCAGATGGTAGCGCTGTCTAAATTCCCACTACTCTACTCACGTGTCACTGACAGTGTTTATCTAGTGATTGGGACTTTAATTATAGCTTGATCCAAGTCTTAATATATGGTATAGTATTAATGTTTAATAAGAACATTATAATTCTTTTTTTTCAGTGATGAACCTCCAAGGTTTTAGTGTCTTCTTAATTTTGTTTCTGTTATATCTGGAGATTGCATTGTGTACATATCTATATGAATTCTGATTTTGTAGGCTTTCTTCCAGATCTCTTTTTCTGTGCTCGATAAATTAATGGAAAGGGAATGAACAGAAACATATGATATAGCAAGTGGAAAGATAGGCTTTTATTCTAATTGCATATATTGTGTATTACTAGGCACTAAGAGCTATGCAGGCTACAAAGTTATATAAAATGCATCTCTTGCCCTCAACCACTGAACTGATGAGTGGAACCTTGCGTTCTAATCCCTGGGGGGCTCCTGAACTAGATTGGTAAGTGTTCCTTAACAGTGCATCCTAACAAAATGAATCCCAAAGTAGTCAAGTCCAGTTTTTGAGATTTTGGTAGCTAGAATAATGAGATAAGACTAATAATACCAACACTGATACAGACCATTGAGTGGTGGGATAAAAAATTTTGAAGTAATATATTCTGGATAAAGTTGAGGGAGGCATTTCACAACTCAGCACAAAGAAAAAGTAAATTTGAATCAGTCTAACACTTTAAACAGAAGGGTGCCTGCTCTTTTTCGATAGGTGGGAAATGTTTATGGTAAAGATAAAGGGGGGGTATTTTATTCAGTATATTTCTTCCACTTAGAAAGCTCCTTTTTGCTTGGCCTGTGAATGTGGAGAGAGCAAAAGAACCTACTAGTAGATTAAAGGGAAAGAAGAGGCTAAACCCACGGCAATTCTATAAGGCAGGACAAGCTGGAAGGGAGGTGGAGATACCAGTAGCCTTAACAACTGAATAAATAAAGCCTTTCCTCTTAAAATATATTTATGAAAAACTTATCCAACATTAAATATTAACAAAGAATTAATGAAAATATCCCAAACACTTTATCTTCAAAGGAAGCTCCCACCCCCGTTTAAAAATGCTGTTTAAATCTCAGAATCACATCAGATGTGATTCAGACATAAACTAGTATTGGTCTCGGGGGGTGGTAAGTACTGCAAGAAAGCTGCTAAGTGGGCATGACCTCCAAGTGAGACTCTTCTGTCACCTTTTATCAATTCATTGGTAAGAAGGACCCAAAATTTAGCAATTTTGTGATTGAACAGATTGCTAAATGTCAAACTCCCTCAATAAGACCTGTACATATGTGGGAAGAATAAAAAAAATTGAAATCCATTTGCACTGGATTCGATTTTGGCATTATGCAAATACTTCCTCTGCAGGGCCTCCAGTGAGAAGGATAATACCTTCCACCTGGCATTGACTCTGAGTGGCTTTGTGAATTCCTTTGGTCTATTATGTTGGTTGGTACTTTGGCTTCTTCGGCACCCAGCACCAGCTGATGCCCTGATCTGAGTCCCAGTTGGACAGCCTTTATTGCTCAGTACTGTAGCTGTCTCCAGGGCATTGTTCTTGAGACTTCCAACAGCGCAGATTTGTGTAGTTGGCCCATCTGGACAAGATCTGTAACAAGTAGAGCTCTGTGCAGTAAGCTCATCTCCATAGTCCACCCCCACTGTCCCCGCCTTCGGGCTGCAGCAGCCTGACACCCCAGCCCCTTCAGGGACAGTATCAAAGAGATAGTCTCTGCTTCTTTCAAAGGGGTATTGCTTGTGGCCTCTCATTGATTGGCACTACCTGGGCAGAAATAGGAACACAGGGGCTCTCTTTTCCCTTTTCAATTTAATCTCCTCCTATAAATGAATTCTTAAATTTGATTCTTTGTATGTGAGTGCTAACATGTCTGGTAAAAGTAATTTCTAGATCTGAATATGGTAATACACACTGTTAATCCTAACACCATGAAGGCTGAGACAGGAGGAATATGAGTTCAAGGCTAGCCTGGGCTGCAAATAAGTACCAGGATATCTTAAGATATATAGAAAGACCTTGTCTCAAAAAAAAGAGAGAAAGAAGAAAGAAAGAAAGAAAGAAAATGGAAGGAAAGGAAAGGAAAAAGAAAGAAAGAAAGAAAGAAAGAAAGAAAGAAAGGCCAGCTACCTTGGTCATTCCAAAGTACTGTCTCCCAAATCAAGGGTGATCAAAGGGTATCTCAATGAATAAGATAAATTCAGTAAGAAAATGGAGAAAGAAGGCTGGTCTTGTCTGTGTACTATAGAATTTACATTGACCATTGGACTTAATTGACTTGAATTAGGAATGTATGTGGAATGGAGAAACAATTAAGAGCTGAGATAGAAGAAAGGGAGAAATGGGAGAAAGAAGGAGGGGAGTTGGAAGGGAGGGAAGAGAACTCATATTACATAGTTAATTATTATTCTGGACCCAGAGAAAAGGACACAGTATTTTAAGAGGTTATTTGTCTGTGTGTTCCAACTGCTATCATCATATCTGTATTTTTCTCATCTCATTTCTCTGTTCTTCACAGATCACTTCAGCGAATACATTGTACTAGACCAGTGCATCCCTATGACACAGAGTGACACACCAACCCACTCTATCCTGACCTTTCTTGTATCTGAATCCTATGAAGAAGAAAGGGAAGCACAAAAAGGGTAAAGAAACAACCCAAACTATGGCTCTCTAAGTTGTACAACTACAATCCGAGGTAGGTTGAGTTCTCTAGATGCCTAGATAGGGACACCCTCTGCATGCCTGGTTTCTCCTCAGGAACATTGAAGCCTATGCGATTCAGAACAAGGTTTTATGGTGCCATTATTCGCTTGCCAAGAGGAGGTGCAGTTAGAGATTCCTGGAAATTAAGAGACTTCAGAGAAAAAGAAGAAAACGTAAGCGTCTCTCTAAATATTGCTTCTGAACTCTTCCTAGTTTTAGTACCTTTCATCTCCCCTCTTCTGGATGATCAAATGCATTTCTTAAAGAATAAGCTCCCCCCCCACACACACCTTTTTCCTACCCAGCAGCATAACAAAGCCTGTGGCTACCCTAATTAAGAACTAGAGAAAATACTTCTGGGACAAGGAAGTTTAGTTAGATCTAGAAGGGTAAACTTTCTGAGAGTCCTAGGTTTTTGCCCCAGTTCTAAAAATGGTAGCTTTTCTAGAAGTGAACCTCTCTGCTGGACCAGTCCCCTAGCCCAGAGCAGCCGGTGACTGCCACATCCTTGTTAAGTAGTGGGAACGCGTGCTTTTGGTGCTTTTGTCTCTCTCTCAGTAAGGGCCTCTGACTAGGTCATTTAGAGAAGTACTTGTGGACTAAAAGGACTCCATATCTGAGCTTGCAGTGGGAGGGAGAGAAGTGCCAAATAAAGGGCAGGCTCTGGATGGGAGTAGGAAAGATGAAGATGACCAAACCCAGAGTCCAGTAGTCTAAATATTCTTCACAGAGGATCCCCAGCAATGACAGACAGTCACTCTGGCATCAGGCACATGGACAAACAATGAGAAATGCAGAGTAAGCAGGAAATCTGGATTGAGTAGATAAGCCGTGTTTGTAGTATAGCCACTGTTGGCACTAGGCAGTTCTAGTATAACTTGGGAACTGGTGGTTGAAGTTATGAGGGGGAAGTCAAGAAGAAACTGTTGAAGCTCCTGATAGAGTTTGATGGAAGGGAAAAGCCCACCCGGGTGAAAGCAGGAAGCCAGCAGCTGTATACTATAGCCCCCACCCTGTTCACAGTGCCTGGTGGATGTCTTCCGACCTTAGAACTTTATAGACAACCCAATAGAAGATATTGAAGACAAGAAAAGTAAAGGGAAAGACAGCCCTGGAGATGGTGTCAATTCTCTTGGCTCGGTCCACATAGAGTTTCCTCATGGTTTCTCCCTCCTTTTGAAGAGGAGCTGGAGGTTGGGGACTATAAATTCTGGAACCTTCCATTGGACCTCCATCCCTTGCTTGTAGGCAGTGTCCGAGGCCATAGCCACGAAAATAGAAGCTTCTTTCTCGTATGATGTCTTCTTCCTATAATTGCAAGAGATAAAAGGTGGTATTTGAAGCCAGAGTAAAAGCCAGACCACCCATAAATGCCTCATATCCAATGTCCTACAGACAAATGGCTCACTAAACTGGCCCACTACATGCTTTTTGTTGACCACAAAATTATATGCTAAGCAGCTATATGTTGTGCATAAGTGATATGATTTCATTACCTAGTTGCCTTTTGAAAATGTGTAACATCATTTGGAGTCATCTAAAACCACCAAAGTGTCAGCATCTCAATGTCAGATTATTTCTGACAGGGAAACAGAACAACAGCCACAGTGAAGCTGGGATATTTTGACTTGATGAAATTGACTTCAATGAATTTAAAAAGCTTTAGAATTAGATTGTTTGGTATATAGTACTTTTAAAAGTGATTTTGACTTAAAGCTAAGAATTCTAAAAGTTCTAAGTGACCAAATGAGCTAGACAAAGTAGGTTACAGTTGCTCACTCTTCAAAGAGCTGTATGATTCTTTACAAATTAGCTGATCTTAAAAATAAATAAATTAATTAAAAAAAACAAATAAGCTGATTTGAAAAGGGAATCAGTAAATCTATAATAACACTTATTACCCAATGTGCATTACATTTCTGTAGAATGTATGTCTTTTGATAAACACATTAACAGAGATGAGGTGTGTTTTATATTTTATTCAAGTAGTGAGCAGTATGTTGTAGACAGCAGAAAGTCTATTAATACAACCCCTGACTTACAACATTGAGTAGCTGTGCCACAGCTGGGAAGCAGAAAGTAGGGACAGAAAGAGATAAAAGAAATAGATGGGGTCTGGGGGAGAAGAGGGAAGAAATACCCATATGAGAAATATGTCCTTTAAATAGAAGATGATTACATAAATGAAAGTATTGAATTCTCTGCAGGAAAAGCTTTAGCTAAGAGATTGCCTGAGATGAAATCTCCTTTCTTAGGATGTTTTCACCTACCAACTCAAGTTTACCCAGAACTGCGGAGGCTCCAGAGACTAGTAGTCTCTCATCGCTAACACTGGAGAAGTTCAAGGTAGAACAGGAAGAGTAAGTCACCCTAGTTACCTGATGTAGTTCTATAAATTATAAGCACAAGATACATGTATATTGTGTGGGCTTGCCACATGTGTGTATATATATGTGCTAAACATTTTGCACAGTTCAAGGGACATTGAGGGATCTTTATAACAAGGACTCTGCGGCTACAGAACCCAACTGAAAAGTTGTTTTGTAGATGAGATATTGGTATAGCTGGTCATAGTAACTCCTAACTATTACATCACTCAAAAGTGAACTGTTAGGGCAAGTCTGCTACTGGGCTTCAGTGGCACACAAACTCAGGCCAGAAAGTCACAAAGAAACCCTATCCCTTCCTCTGCCATCTGTTAATTCATATATAGACTTGTTCACTACTGTATTCCCAGTGACAGGTGCCATGCTTGGAACCTAATAGACACTCAGTAGATATCTGTTGAGTGGACAACTGGGCTAATGAACCACATGCTTCAGGACATAAGGAATGGAGTAACCTTTTGTTTTGTGATGCCCATATCTTGCCAGGGTCCCAAACTCAAGATTCCGCTCAGAAAGGGTTCTCACTCAGTCATGAAGCACTTGCCCCACTGTACAATGGCTCCATAGCCTTTGGCTTCTCCAAAGGGAGTAGCACTTTGAACAGAGGAAAAAATTAAAGTCTGCGCATCACAGAACTTTGCTGTCCTACTCTTGATTTATCAGGGTCTTCAGGGAGAGTTGTATGTGTGTATATATATGTTGTATGTATGTATGTCAGAGTGAGTTCACTACCCTGCTCTTCAACTTGGACTGGTTACAGTTTGGCGGCCTGAAGGCTTTGCTCACTTGCCATTTTAGCCTCTGTTATCAAAGATCTTGATTCATCTCACATGCGTTCTGCAATTAATTTTCACACTCTTTCTACAGGAGAGGTTTGCTGGGTCCATTATACAGGTAAAGAACCAGAGGCAAACAGAGTATCTCAGAAGGAATTGAAAAGTGAGAGCGGTAAGTAAAGTTTTTTAAAAGAATCCTCCTAGTGATCGAGTTCAGGACCTTGTACCCCACTCTTCACTAACCCAACTAGAAGATACAACTACAGAATATAGGTATTGAGAGAAAATCTTCTAATGGAGAAAGTTAGATTGAACTGCTAGTTCTTTTTTTATAAATCCAATTTTTCTCCTTTTATCCAGTAAATCTGAGGGAAATTATTTGGAAACATTTCCCAGGCTTAAAAATGTAATTTCATAGAGAAGGGAAAAATATATCTAGTAAAGTAAGCTGCTCTTGGCTCTTTTTAATTTTAATATGTATCTTTTATGGTCCAGGAAAGATGAATACCCTAAAATCCAAGGATAAAGAGGCCTGGTTTTGGATATTAGATATTTACGACAGATTCTGAGTAAGTATTTATGTGTTGGGGAGTGTCAATGTGCCATTCAATATTACTTTGCAATTTCCATGGTTATTGAAATAGAATTGAATTTTTCTGCATATCTAGGAGCAGAGTGCTGAGAGGCTAGAGAAGGAAGCTAGACCCTAGCCAGCCTGGGAAATAAATGCCCAGTGGAGAAGGGGTATGAAGATGGGAAGGAGTGATAAATGTCAGGGGAGACAAGCAGGATAAGAAATTGGAAATGGAGTGGAGTACTCAATAGCGGATGGAGAGGTGAACAAGCTTCCGAAAGTAAGTCCCCGAGAGGATTTGCTGCTATTTTGTAATTTTTCTAGTTCTCAAGTTATTGTATTAATAACATCAAGAAGTTTTGTCTGTGCAGTTTGACAGCCTTTGCCTTTGGCTGCTGTGTTCAGAGCCAGGGGCTAACCCTGCAGGGATGGTGAGAATCCACCCTTTCCTCTGAATCATTTAGACCATCTGGGAAGACAAAGCAGAAGCATGTGCAAAACACCCACTATTTTTGGCAGCACTGCGGGAGAAGACCACTATGTTGGGGAGACAAGTGGTTGAGGAGAGGTTAGAAAGACAATGACTAGGCCTAGAGCTAGACGGACAGTTGACTGGCTCCTGAAGAACCCTGTCGTGACCTTGACTCTGGGCTCCTGAGAATTATAATATTTCTCTCTTCTTCCATTGGGTTTTCCCAGGCTGAAGGTTTCTAATTCTTTTACTGGAACATCAAGGCCCCAAAAGAAGGTCTAGACAAACATGAGCTCTCTGTCAACTTCTTTAGCCAGTTTAGGGCATTCAGGATTCCTGTTTAGTACACTGGAGTCACATTAGCTTTAGGAAGCTCAAGAGAGGGGTATTATTGATGGCACAGATTTGGGTTTCAGGCTTTATTCACATTAATAATAAGCCACAGCCCACTTTTAGGCAAGCCACAGTGTCCTATTTAGGCATCAAGCAACTACTAAGTAACTTTGTAATAACTATACGGTGGCACACTCTGTTATAAGCACATGCCAACCTGCATATAAACACGAGCAAACAAAATGTGGGCAGTAGCTGGTTGAATGGGCACAGGATAGGAGGTGGGACTGAGGTCAAGCTGAGTAGCTCTG